GTTTAGTCCAGGAAACAGTTTCCCGATGACTTTCACTCAACCTCAACATCTTTGGATTCATCACACATACTCTTCTCCTTTATGGTCTGCAGCTGCTTCCACTTGCCAGCAACTCAGCCTTGTATGGAGGTTGAGATTTCCTTCTCATTCTCAGGAGTAAGCAGCGAAGGTGACCTTGGCCGCCACTGGAACTGCAACAATCATTCATTCAGTCATCAACAAGATAAACGGCCGAGCATTTCAATGACAGAGCAACAGGAAGCATGGATCGATTGAAGCTCCACCAGATTCTGTACTCCTTTGACACCTTGTAAATCATCTTGTGCCAATGAAACACCTGATTCGAATATTGCTGTCCCATCTCATGGCCGACCGATGCAGTTGCAACGAGTCTGAAAAAAAGCCAGGTTCTGAAATCATTTCGGCTCCACTCGATAAACTGGATGTGAATCAATCTAAATGTGCTTGGAACGAACTATGTATGTAGCCAACTGTTTAGTTGTCCATTCATCCAACTGTTTAGAGTTTCACTTGAGGGCAGGGGTGTTTATTTCAACAGTTCAGGTTGAAGTAATTCATATACTTAAGCTATTCCATATACATGTCTAAAATTTGATACTGTAAACATCAAGAAATATTGTGTTCAAAGAACTCCTGATTATGTGGAACAGTGAGTATTATACCACAAATTAACCAGTACCCATGGATTAGAAAAGCGCATTAGGCGCTTAAACTCGCCATCGCCGCCCTGCGTGTACCGAAAGGAGACCGCTGAACAAAACTATCCATTCAGTGCTGGCAAGCAAAATAAAATGGGCAAGGTAAGTGTGTTTATGATACTTAGTTGTAGTATTAGAAGTGTGACAGGCCATGAACTGTACTTTTCAGCAATCAGACTGCAAGCAAGAAAATTTGGGCACCTGCTTCTGGTACACAAGCTCAGGTACCGGCGCACCACGGTAGAGGTATCGGCGCGGATGACACACTTGAGGGGCGTATGGATTTGGTTTCAGCATGCGTCCATTCGTCAGGGACTTCCATATATGTACTTGTCAAAGTCATCGAACATATTAACTCTGCAATGTGTGGAACATGTCTAGCGCGTACAGGCAACTTGGGCTTCCTGTGGCAGGTGAGTTGACAGGTAATGAACTTTCAGCTGCCCAACATGGGTATTGATTATTGGATAGAACTCGAAACAATCGTAGTCGAAAGTTAAAATGGTGATGTGCCTCTTTTGTGGGTGAAACGGTCCGCAATATATATGCAGTGAGTTTCAGTAGAGTGATATTCAGTGAAATGGTATGTAATGTTCAAGTGAACTGACTTTTGCTAGTTCTGTGCAGTTCTTTCAGCTGCCCAACATAATGTAAGAGCGTTTTTTTTTACATTTGTGTAGTGTAAAAAATGCTCTTATATTATGGGACGGAGGGAGTATTTTAAGTTTCTGTTCTTGATGGATTGTTCAAACTGAGCTGAGCTGCAATGGTTACATATGGAATGAATTTGCATTGCTCAAACTGGACTGGAATGTGGCTTGATTTAAGTTTAACAACAACAGTTTCACACAGAAAACAGAGCTGAATTCATTGAGATATTCACATTGCTAGCTACAGTTGAGTGCGTAATTTCACCAATTTAAGCAAAACCGTTTAGCTAGCTACAGTTGAGTGCGTAATTTCTGATTTATGCAAAACCGTTTAGTTAGCTAGCTACAGTTGAGTGCCATATTTCACTGGATTAAAATAAGCACATACACATAACTGACAGCACACATACACATCACTGATTTAACGAAATTTGCACACAACTCAGCAGCACTTCATCATCATCATATAAAGTATAGTAGCAGCAGTACAAATAAAGAGACATGATCAAAGTACTTGAGTAGATGTTGAGCAGCATGATCATGAACACAACATAATTAAGCATTTACATGTTGTGCAGCTGATCATAAGCGAGCAGAACACAAAAGACATTGAGCCACCCCTGAGTTCATCAAACATGTTAGCTTTTCTTGGTTTCTTAAAAGGGGCCGACCTCTCATGTTTTGACTACAACTTATTCCATTTCTCTTTGGATTTTTGGTTGAGCATTCATCCCTTCTCTCCTCAGCCCTTGCCTTCTATCTAGCCTAAATTTTCATCCATGGCTTGCTGCCTGGCTAGCTCTGCCTCTATCCCATTCATTCTACAATCCTTGCCCTGACAGTGCTGCCGCTGCGGCAACACATACAGCAGGAACTGGGGTTGTGCTTCGAGATCACTTGGGTAATTTTGTTGCAGCGCAGGCGAAGCAGTACGAGGTCATTTCAGACCCGTGCATCATCGAGGCCCTAGCCTGCAGAGATATCGATGGTGTTCAAGCAGCTATGGAGAGGGGGTTACAGAAAATTAATAGTGCTTGAGACTGATAGCCAGATGGTGGAAGACCGACCGGGCGCAGCCCATATCTTTTGAGAGATGAAAACATATATCTCTCAAATTTTCAGGGATTTTCTCTTGTTTTTATTCCTAAAGTGCGAATTTTGCAGCTCATCTTTGTGCAAGGTTGATTGTTTGCAAGGTTGCGTCTTGGGATGGGCTGGCGGCGTCTCCTCATCTGCAGCATAATTAGGATTTTGTGATTCTTCAAGCATGTGCTCTTCCTTCACATCCTTAGCCGATACGGGGTTGCGAAGACCTAGAGGAGATCATCTAGGTGGCGGTCCAATGCCCTGGTCGGAGACGGTGTTCTGTTTGGGGATGGCCTTTTCCCACTATGATACGCATTGCATGCAGGGCACTTGAGGTAACCAGCAAAGCATTCCGAAAGGGGCTGCGGCTCATTACCCTCTTGTATAATGTTCTGTGGCAGAATCAAATTGTGTTATTTTGGGAACACCATAAGCAAAGAAACCTTCTGCACGTTCTCATTTAATTTGATGTTGTGCGTGATATTTCCTGTAAGACTCTAGTTTTGCAACCTCCAACAAGTCGCCACTAGTACTCACTCTAGCTAGGAGAGTACAAGGAATTTTTTTTCCTCCAACGAATGTGGTGACCCATCATGGCCATGCATGACATTAATGACCGAGGGGCTTCTGATCTTTCTGGGAGCAAGCGCCGGCGGCGTATCCACCATTTCTGGCATATTTGTCGACCCTTTGGACTGAATATGCTTCTGAATCTTTGGCATAACCTTTGCTAAAAGCGGGACGTATAGAATGCAAGAAATTCGATGATATGGAAGTGAATCAACATTTCGTCAAAACTTTGGCACTCTTTTCTATTCCATGTAAATCAAACCGTGAGCATCGACATACATTACAATGAATTGTATCATATTCATCCATCATAGCGCAACAACCTCTGAACATGAACATATATCAGACAAATGACATTTCTTTTGAGATACCTTAGCAAGCGCTGATTTATCATTGAATGGTTAGTTGGAGTCGAAGATGTTATGGAAACATCATCAATTTTTACTCTTGAAAAATTATTCACTAATATTGCATTAGGCATATAGCAGGTCGGAGAACAATACTATGATTGGGCAAGCAACATGCGTGGTGAGTTCAATGGCTTGAAAGCAAATATTTTGTTCAACAATTGTTGTTGGTTACTGTGGCAGTATTAAAGAACCATGATGTTATTGCAGATTTTTTCTACATGATCACCCATTTCATTCAATGTCATCCAGCTGGTATGTCCTGCACTCTTTCAATTTTTAATGTAATACAATATGTGATAGGTGATGTCGTATTTCTATTCCTTCTGTTTTTTTTTTCTGATTATGCAACCTGATTCTGATTGTATGGCAGAGAACTTGGGTACATAGTTACGGACATCAGTAGCCTTGCAAATATTGTCATGAAATTGCAATTCGCTGCATGATATATATAGTTCCATTGCGTTTGGAAGGCGCAGTGGAAAAAAATCTAATACAGAGGTGTGTTTTTTGTGAAAAAAATTTCTTCATTTTTGTCGGAAAAATCTCAGTTAAATGCCAGCAGTATTTAGCATTCCCTAACTACAAATTCGAATATAGACCAGATGTCTTGACTGCGAATATACAAATTTTAAAATTCAGTTTGATTTATCAGGCTTTTGTGCCCAAACAATGCGGTGAGCGATGGGCCTTAAAATGAGCACATTGTTGTTAAGTGATAGGTCTGCAATTAATTGATCCGATCTAGCTAGCTGCTCCTTTCAGAAATTCCAGCTTTACGCAATGGTGTATTTGCTTACTCTCCAGATTGCCGCTTGTGATGATGTCGTTGATGGAGCCTTACCGCAGTGTCCTTGGCCCTCATTTCAGGAATTTTGAGATGAGGACAAGAGTAGAGTTGCTTCTTAGACAGAACAAGCTGACAAAGGATGATTGCAAGGATGTACTTCAGGCCCTTTTTCAAGTGTTGGATTGTCGTGTCTTTAATTCCAAGGTAATGAACACATTGTTGTGAATTCATGTCAGTTTAATTCATCATCCTGTCTGCTGCATGTTCGTTCTGGAAGCGGTGAAAAACCCATTTCCGCATCCAAAACCTGAGGGCGATCGAGTGCGACATGAGCGTGAATGGGAGGAATTTGTCTCAACACGTGGTTGCCTTTGTCCAAAGAATTCAGACAAATCAGCATGCATAGATGATGCCTTGTTGGTTGTTATCAGGTTGAGCCGTTGTTGTTTTTGCTGATGCTGCTCGAAAGATCGACATCGTACGTGTCATGTGACACATACATTCAGAAGAAAAGTAGTAGAGTACATGTTTCACAAATGTTACATGTAAAAACAATGTCCTCGATGTATATTTAAATACACACTGCAAACAAGAGAATAAGAAGGATGCATGTATTAGTAAGTATTACCCTATACCCATGACAATATACAGGTACGCATGCATATTGTATCGACCAAATTAAGATACAGAAAAAATAATAATACAAATACGTTTACAACAGATGCCTGCCCTGCCATGAAGAGAGAGAGCTTATAATTTATTCAGGATTGGCTTGTTTCTATTCAAAGCGACCTGGGAGTGTATTCAGGATGGGCTTGTTTCTATTCAAAGCGACCTGGGCTCGCAACTCCTCGGTGATAAGATGCTCGGTGATCCCTACTTCCTTGATGCTTCCGAGAGAGTCCACTCCAAGAAACCTAGTCTCGGTATCCGGACACTGGAGGAGAAGCTGCTGGAGTTTGGGCATTGCTCCCTGCTCAAACTCAACCAACCTTATGTTCCTTATGCGTGAAAGCTCCAGCACGACGAGGCTCCGGAATGCCTCCGCCACGAAATGTACTTCTTCACCATGGAAACTAACCACATTGAGACGCAAGACGGCTAGGTTCGGCAGATTCCCCAGGGCTCCTATAGCACCATCCTGCTCCTCTTGGCTGGATGTTACGAATTCGATTCTCAACTTTACAAGGTTCTCAAGCTTCTTGACCCATTCCGGCAATTTGGCCATGCTTTGAATGGGGAAAGTTGCCATGTTCAGCTTGAGGTTCCGGAGGTTACTTGGAGGCGAGGAAATGCCGTCCAGACGCAAATCGTGTCCACCCTCTGGAGTCACTGACAATGACTCTAGGAGGTTGAGACTGGAAACGACAGCACAAAACTCTGAAGCATTCCTCGCTTGTAGGCGGACCACTCCTAGCTTACGCAGCCCCATGAGTCCTCCTTTGATGTTCCGCAGAAAAGCAATGCCTCCGGACGCGACCAGGTCCACACCCTGTAATGTATGCAGGGCCTTCATTCTCCTCATCCCTCTTGGCACCCTCACGCCAACACCATTGCCATACCCCTTCATCAGAAAAGGGATTGCCGCGCAGCATGTGAAGGTGCATACATCACGCTGGTTGAAGCCATCAGTTTGTATTACTTCCCGAGGTATGCAACATCCAGTACAAAAAACCATGCATGTCTTCAAATATGGATGTGAATCATAGTAGTCTATCGGTCCAACACGCCATTTAAGCTTGTTATTATTACTGCAACGAAGATATTGCAGCTTCCGAAGCTTGACGATGCTTCTCGTCAGTATCAGTATGGAGGTACCTCTGATATCAAGTGTTTGCAGTTGCATCAGGTTACCAATTGAATCTGGCAGGTGATAAATATCTTCACATCCTCTCAGAGATAAGTATATTAGGTGAAGAAGCTTCCCAATATGCTTCAAATGATGATCGACAAGACCTGTCGTGTCTTCCAAGTCCAGAACTCGTAGCATCCTCATCTTCACCGACATGAAGAATGGCCTCCACTTCCCAAAAACAGTTATTGACCGTACACGGGGCATGTCCACCATCATCTCAAAATCACTCTGCTCTCCTTCCCAATTGCCGTTTATAGCAAGATGGCGTGCATTACCCTGCTGCCTATTCAGCTTACAACCTTTCTCTAGTCTCAAAACAAGGTTTTCTTCCATAGACTTTGAGATGCTGATCTCACGAATGAGATCATGGACTTGGCAGGAATCTATTCCTTTTATACTATGGAATGATTTTTGAGATGGCAGTATCATGCTCCTGCTTATAAGTTCCACGAAGTAGCTATCTGATATTTCCCCCGCCGACTTATCACGCACCTCCCTTGAGTACCCCTCTGCAGTCCACCGAAGCACCAAGCGTCTCCGCTCAAGCTTACGGTCTTCAGAAAATATGGATGTGTACAAGAAACATGACTTGAGGTGGAAGGGTAGACCATCATAGCTTTTCATAAGAACACTTCTTATGGTTGTAAGCTCAGGATTCATCTCCATCTCGGCACTGATATGATCATAAAATTTCCTCCATTCCAGAGAAGTCTTTGGTTGGTTTGCTAAAAAGCCACCTACGGTGACTATTGCAAGGGGTAGTCGGCCACACTTCCTCAGGATCAATTCGGCTGGTTTGACTAGCTCTGGATAATGCTTATCCAAATCTATTGTCTTCCTAAATACCTGAAAATTTGTACAATGCGTATATTAGTACTCTAACAACTAAATAACATACAAGTGGAACAAGAAAAGCTTGTCAAAAATACTTGAAAACTACTATCTTAACACTAATAAAACTAGAATGATTATCTACTCTCTCCGTCTCATAATATAAGAGCGTTTTTGACACTACACTAGTGTAAAAAACGCTCTTATATTATGGGACGGAGGGAGTACTTTGCAAGAATTCCACCTATAGTTCCCAAAACATACTTTATGTCAATTAAATATAATAAACCTTCCGACATTCATCTTTAACGTTCCTCCATATTAGAAACACGGCCGTGCAACTCAAGATATTGTTCAGATGGTTCACAGAAACATTCTGTCATTATATGTTCGAAATACATTTTCTAGATATGTGCCACTATATATATGAAGAATTCATGTATTTTAAATGAAGTTCTACTTGCTGTAGAAAAACATCATGTATTCCTTTTGCATTGAAATAGTAAAATTGTATTTAAATAATTCATGTCTGTTGGACAGACTGAAACCGATTGGCAGAAAATTTGAGAAAAAAGATAATACTAGAATATGCCTAGATGAATTATTTTCGTAATCCCTACGTCACCTCAACAGCTCGATGAAACACAACATAAAAGAACAATGTATTTATTTTTGCGGGGAAATATGGACCATGGTTGGAAAATAGGAAATCTTCCCCACAAATGGAAATAAGACATATTGAATCAAACAATTGAACATGAAAATACTTAGCAACTACCTTTTTAGTGAAGAGCTCACGCGCATACTCGTACGCTAGATCTTCAAGCTTGTATATATTTTCTTGTTTCTTCTCTGAACAATGTAGAGCAATACTCTTCTCCCTTGTAGTGACTATGATTCGGCTTGTATTTCCCATCTCCTGGAAAATTACTGGTTGTATTAGCTGATCCCATTCTGCAGTAGATGATACATCATCAAGAACAATAAGGCATCTTTTTTTGTCTACCAATATTGCCAACTCATTGATCAAGTCATCAACTGTCATTGATAGTAATCTCTCTTTCACTGATGGTAATCTCTCCTTTTTGCTTGCAGGGGCGAGAGCCTGTTTCGAGGATGGTAATCTCTCCGTTTTGCTTGCAGGCAAACCCACATCAGCCTTCTTTTCAGAAGTTTCCGTGTCAAGTTGCATAAATAAGCTCCTGAGAAGCTCTAAAAGACTGAAAGGACGCAAAATTGTGGCACAAGCATGCTTCTCAAACGTGCCAATGAGTTCTTGGCTTTGATAGATGTCTTTCACTATAGTGGTTTTCCCAAGACCACCCATTCCCCAAATGGATATCACCTCAAACCTTTCTCTAGTTGGATGAGATATTAGTTCAATAATATCTTTTTTTTCTTGAGCTCGTCCAACAATATGAGATTCCATCTTCCTGTTCCATGTGAGGCTCTTTCCATCAGCAGCTTCTGTAGATGTATCCTCAATTATCTCAGAATTTGGCACTGTTGAGTTGTCAGTATTATTCATAATGTCTAATGTTTCATGCTCAGAGCGCTGTGCACAAGCAAACACATGTATTAGCTTGTAAAATAGTAATTAACTTGCAAAACAGGGGTTTATGTATGACATGCACATCACATTCCAAAAACCACTAGTATTATTGATTTTTTTCCTGGTTATTGATAAAAGGAGTATAAAGATGAATTACTACTTTTATAGGACATATTTTTCATAAATCCATTAAGTTTCCTGTTAATTACTTGATAATTAATACGACTACTATTAATACTAAGAAGTACTCCCTCCATTCTCAAATATTTGTCTTTCTAGAGATTTCAACAAGTGACTACATACGGAGCAAAATGAGTGAATCTACAGTCTAAAATATGTCTACATACATCCGTATGTTGTGTCCATTTGAAATGCCTAGAAAGACAAATATGTGGGAACGGAGGGAGTATATTTTGAGTATATTTTATCTGGCTGATGAACTAGCTAGCTATAGGCATAACATATTGATTCAGCAATGATGGATGTACATATATAGGAGGAGAGGTTTAGTTGAATAATATTACCATGTTGTGGAAAGCATAGATATACTGATGAGCTGACAATTGCTTGAGCTTTGATGCATTGTATTCTTGCCCTGCACATAAGGTCGCAACTTCAGCTTGCGGTGTGGACACTATGATTCTACACCCCATGTTGTTGTTTGGGAAGCACATTTTGACCCGATCCAACTCCTCGATGGTGGATAGGTCATTGATCACAATCAGATACCTCTTCTTGTTCACATACCCATCAAACTCCCGAGCCAGCTGCTGCGGCGTCTTCTGGTCCATTTCCAACATAACAGCAGCTGTTGTAGTATGATGAAACTGCTCCACTAAGCTCTGGATGAAGTCCTTTGGATTAAAAGGATGTGTCAGCCTGACCCAAGCTCGACATGTGAATTTTGTTGTGACATCTGGATCCTCATAGACCGCCCTGATGATGGACGTCTGCCCGAGATCAGCACTTGTTCCCCACACGGCGATCACCCCAAGCCCAAGATCATCATTATTGCAGCTGACCATGAGCAACTGGGTAAGATCCACGTTTGATTGGTTGTGCTGCTTGGAGGCGCCATGGATGCTAACCATTGACGCTGCTGCAGATCTGTCAGCTGCTGGCTGCTTGGAGGAGGAAGAAGAAGCAGCATCTGAGGAGCCCTTGATGAGCTGGTAGCGTATGTTCCTCTGGCTGACATCGTCCACTTTGGCCCTGAGCTCTTTCATCTGATTTGCCACCTCGTGCCGGTGGATCAGCGTGCGCCACCATGGTTGCCTGTTGACACGGACGGCGAAATCCTGGAGGCAGTCCTCGACGATGTAGGCCACGTCGCGGACCTGCTTCACCCAGGTCTTCACCACCATGTTGTCGCCGTCTCCCTCGTCGTGCGCCGACATGAGAAAAGACTGCATCATCTCCAGCTCCCCCGTGATGAAGGCCTGATCGCGCCCAACGCCCAGCTGCAGAGCCAACTCCTCCGCCACCGCCGATTTGGCGTAGCTAAGCGCCCCATTTAGCACCGACTTGCCGACGCTCAGCGCCGTCGCCTCCATGATTAATTGGTGAGTTGTGGATTGGTTGTGGGCTGTGGGGGATAATAGCGAAAGAGAGTAACCTACGAGGTGCGGTGCGTGCAGAGGAGATGTTGATCTTGATATGTATGCTAGGCTTTTGCTATTGGCTTGGGCATCATATGTATGTTGCTTTATTCCTCATGTTGCCTAAAGTAAGAAAGCAGCCTGGATTCCTAATGAATGAATGAATCAGATGCTTTGCTTGCATGCGTGGTTAACGCCTTTACCTCTTGTCGAGGCAAACATCAATTGATTCCTAATATAAACAAGTTGGGAGCTAAAGCTAGCCTACGTATAGTAGTAGCAAAAATAAATATATCAGCAGCGTACGTACGTATGTATGCTTTACCTGTTGTTGCTTTATATATCTGCTGCCTTTGCACATGGCAAAAATAAATAAAGCTTATCAGCAGCGTACGAACTGGAGTAAACATTTGCAGACTAGAAGGAAAATCTGTCTGTCTCCGGTTCAGCAGCGCGCGGCGTTGCCTTTGTTTTGAACTATTGATTGATAGATTGTGGCAGATCCTGGAGTACACCGATCGAGGTTATCGGGCACACCTTTTTCTTCAAGCCCGACCAAAAAAATATTCCCTCGGTCCGAAAAAGCTTGAAGCTTGTCCCTCAGTGCTAGATACATCCATTTGAGAGAGAAGCTTGGGACAAGTTTTTTCGGATGGAGGGAGTAAGAGCTTATTATTTACCGATTGGGGGTCGGTGCAATCCGGCTTGGGAGGAGGTGGTGCGAGTCAGTCGTGGCCGCCGTTGCCGCTTGCCGGTGGCAGACTCCGGCCGGTCATTTTTTCTCGAGGCGGCGTACAGCGGTGGCCTTGTCGCTCAAGTGTGGGTTGCCATATTATTACCAGCGGAAATGTTTGTGTGTTGCATACAATCTAGTCCATATTACAGAGAGAGTAATATTAGAACATGCAATATCTGGTTTTATCCTCAATAAAAGAAATACACATTGGATGTGAAAATATCATGAGAAAATTACTTAAAGTAGTACTCCCTCCGTCACGAGCAGCTCACTGTCCCCAGGCACAACCATCAGTTGATGGAAAAGGCATTGACACTGCTGCATGGTCTCGGCAACCGGCAATTCAACCCGACACTTGAAATCCCAGACCTCGGCTTGGTAGTCCTGCATAACCCAGATATCAAAGGCTGTCTCTTCACCACTAAGAGACAAGATAGCAAGCATGTCACCCATCTCAAACAGTCGAGCGTAGCCATAAGAAAACGGGATGTGGATCTTCCCGAACGACTCATCGGTGGTGTCGAATACCAATATCCCATTGCCTATGTACCAGTATATGCTACCTTGGAGTAGCAGTTGGAGGCAATCTCGAAGAGCGGTAGGATCAGGGCAACATATTTTCCTCGGCGGTTGGCTGGAGCCTATTGTGAAAACGAAGATGGTACGCCGATCTTCTCCCCATTCACGGTACAACAGCAGTCGGTACTCACCACCAGTAGTGGGGTGAGGGTACATCTGCACGGGCCTGAAGCCACAAAGCTACTTGAGAGGAGCATACTCTCGAGTTGCCGGGTTGCAGATGCAGATGATGCACAAGAAATATTGGCATTTTTTCCCTTTGTGCCAGCGAGCTATCATTCGAGCTTTTTTAAGGGATAGTGATGACTCTAGCTGCTACAGAATGTCGGAGAGCACGCAGAGGGTGAGAGGAGTCTTAACCACGACCTCAACAACTTCGAGATGGTGTACCCCACTAGGCAGATATATGTGTAAAACCTGAGACGATTTTCTTGAATCTTGATGGAGCAGGAGGTGGGTGACATGAGGCGCCATCTAGAGGTCATCGATGTGCATTTTGCATTGACCGATATATAATGCTTTTCATGAGTTGTTGAAGGATCGAAAATGTCGATTAGAGGATGTGGCGGACAGGCTAACACATTCTCTTGTGGGGGAAACTTGACCAACCTTAAACACGTTGTACTCCGTCGCTGGTATTTTTCTACAATTTTCACACAAAGGGTATTCATTAAAAGGTTAAGCATCCAGTAAGTACAACATGGGCATGGACTATACAAGCTCTATTTTACACACAACAATAATTAATAGGCGATGGTCATTTATTGCCAAGCAAGCAAATACTGCAATTCACTCACTAGTCCGTCACTAACTATCAATGACCCGTGAGCTCTGGCAAGCCTACTCCACTACAACACCACCGCCGCCGCGACCGTTGGACCCAAGACCTAACCGTGGCCAAGATGAAGCACACACGCACACACACTTGTGGTGTGGAAGAAGAGCACAACTCACACAGGTTGCTCCTCTTCTTGAAAAAATCAGCATCGGCTCTCATTGGCCATCCTAATTGGAAACAGTCTCTTGACCTGATAAGCAATGTAAAATTAATTGCATGGGCAACAAAATTGTAACGAATATAACGAATTATGTTGTATTTACCAAAAGAACACATTGAGATCATCATAATTTCTCTGATGTGAGTGTTTTGATTTTATTGTCCCGCTCCTTTCAGTTTTGTCCTATGTAAAAAATCAAAAGGATATAAGTTGATTGTTCTTGAAATTAAAAAATCATCATGGAAATACAGAAATGTACCGTTTCTACGATTCTGGAAATTGGGGTCACGACTTTCTTCAAGAAGGCTTCCTCTTCGCCACCATAGTATGGCCTAACATTTTCACCAGTTACTGGGCTCACGTTTGCAGCCAACACACTGTATAATTCAAAAGCCATCTGCAACGGAATAAAAAAAAGCACGACCGTCACTTACCAATAATCATCTCATCACAAGAGCTATGGCAGTCAATCAACCAACAAAAACAGCCTTGATAATCAAGCATTTATTAACTAGCATGTCCATGAACACAAACTATACAATTGCTAAATGGAAACAAGTATGAAATGGCAATAAAAACATAAATGGCATGTAAAACTTTCCGGCACGGAAATATAATGTACTACGAACCTCAATCTTTTGCCGATTTACAATTAATGGTCTAAACTACTATGTGAGCATCAATGGAAGAAAAAGGATCAAGCAAAGATAGGGACCGCGTTAGAACTTTTTGTTTTGTTAGTGTTTACGGGATCTCCTCGGGCAGAACTTATACCTAGAGTTAAGTTGGCATGACAAACAATTGGCGGCCATCCAAACAAAGACCATTTTTTTTATGATGGCCAGAAAAATAGTTAGGATACATTTTGTCAACTCTCCAGACATACCCAAATACTAGCATAGTAGCCTTTGCATCATTTTCATCGTAATCAGGAAACATAATTAGGACCTTGAACCCCTTTAATTAAGGGTTTAAAACCCAGTTCTCCAGTTTAGTAAATAGATCGTGTGATTAATTTGACAAAGAAATGAATTGACCATACATGATTATAGAGGTAGCAAAGACACTCTGGCATAAACCGCAAGTTAGCCGCCTCGCCCATTTAAAATGGTAGACGTAGCAAATAATCTGAAATATAGTGTACTATCCTCAAGCTTTCGCCCATTAAAAATGGTCTAAAATACTAAGGTAGCATCACTGGAAGAAAAGTGAGCACACAAATTAGATCGTATCTCTCCTGATCAGCGTTTAGGAATTGACCATACATGATGAAAGAGGTAGCAAAGACACTCTGGCATAAACCGCAAGTTAGCCGCCTCGCCCCATATGAGAAGATAAAGGCCCATATAGAGAAGCTTACGCTGTTGTACTTCTTGTGGAATTGTCGGCAGCCTAGAAACATAATGATCAACTAATTAGTTGAGCAAGGGATCAATCGTTGGACCACTGAAGGTTAATCATCATACCATAAGCTGGTTTTGCGGCCAAGGTACTTGCACCATCTCTTGTAGTTCTTGAATAGCTTCTTCATTGTTGTATCCAACACATGGTCATCTAACTGAAAATAAATTCAGAAAGGGAACGGGTAAATTGATATCATTACATAAGGGTCGGGTCAATGTGCCTTATGTGTCAGTATGTTGGAAAAGGCGGTACCTCTGGTTGTTGTTCAGGTTTGGAAATCTGCCTTATATGCATGTTGGCAAGCAATAGTATGAGATGTTCTCTCTGATTGGACACATTATCTTTCTGCAGAGTGATAGTTGAAGTTAGAGAGCATTAATGTATCAGCATTCACAACCAAATTGTGGGCATGAGATATGAATGCAAATGGTAAAGAGTCGCCATGTTTTTTTTTCCGAATCTTTTAATTTTTTTTTGAGAATCGAGTCGCCATGTTGTGATAACCTGAAACCCAAACATGGCCTGAAGCCATTCAAGAAGATCTGCATCAGCCTTCTTTTCATGGTCCTTGGGCCATGGCAGACCCCTAGTGTCACTAAGGGCATGCAAAGCTGCTTGGATCTACATGTAATAATGAAAAGCGGCGTAAGCCATACTGTAATCATCTCAACAACTTGCCAAAGTACTCGGAAGGAAATCAGGATGGATGGGAACCTTGGGATATCTCATAATAGTCTGATTAGCACTGTCAGGAAGATACACCTTTTTCTTTTCCTCGACTTGGTTGCTTGTTTCCAGAATCTGCAACATCAATCAATAACAGTGTTTTTGTTTGTGAGGAAACATATAAAGCAGGAGCTAGCAGTGTGACAAAAGAAACAAAGGAGCTAGCAGTGTGAGAGCAGCTTACCGCGTGATCAACTTGGATCTTCTGTGAAACATTATCGGCGTCCTTTAGGACCCCAAACAACACAGCTGAAGTCTGATACGCCTTTGTGAGCTGAGCACTGAGCAAATGGAAAAAAGACATAAATGAGTCAGCATAGCACTCAGTAAATAGCATTAGAAAGAGAAGAAGATGGGTTGCTCTCTCACCGGTCACCTGTATCGCCGGCGTTTACTAGTGCCATGATGTACGTCTTGTAGTAGTGCTGGTAGAAACTCCACATTTCGCGTGTATCACTCTGCTTCAAGGTCTCCTAAGGAAGGAAGCGCGTGCATCGCAATGAAAGCAAAGC